AACCAATGAACAGCAACCCTCTTCCTGTCTGATATATCTTCTCCAGGCTACCCACCCTTAGGGCAGGTAGCACTCATACCCAGGGTGGGGCAGCCACCGTCTCTCAGAAGGTACAGTGCATACCACTAAGCAAGCTCTGGATATGTGGAGGAAGACATTCGAAACAGCAATACAAACCATTTCCTCCACAATCTTAAAAGTTATATGTGCAGTAAACATTATTTCTAAGAAGCAGATAAGAAACCATTATGCCCTTGAAGAGTGGGCATGTAAGTGTGATTGTAATGGACTAATAAACCTTAAAAATCAATAGATTAGGGCCAGGGATTTAGCTCAGTGGTTCCCCCACCTACCTCGAAAGTGGAAGGTGCCAAGTTCCATCCCTGGTAAACCCTCAAAATCAATAGACTAAATTTCAAATAAGTTTAAGCGCTTACTACTTATGGCAAGTTGAAGTTTCTTTTTCTCTCTTTGACCCTGGTATCTAATTGTGTAAAGATGCAATTTAGCCTTTTTGTTTTCTCTACACCCTGGAGAGACCCAGTCTCCACCTACTGCTACTACCCTCAGCCAGAGGCAGGGAAATTAGAGTTTTCTGTCTGCACAGCGGGCAAACGTAAGTGTATCTTGCTGATGACATTACTGCCTCTGCTCTCTGTTTTGTTCGGCCAGTCTTTATCTAGAATTCCAATCAAGATATTCTTATCTCAGAGTAGCCTTACTTGATCTTATATATAATTCTGAGTCCACTTCTGCTCTCCCCTGTATCTCCTGCCCCCAATCCATTCATTACTTCCTCTTCTATACCTTTCTTTCTTCATTCTCTCTTTCTTTCTCCCCCCCCCCCCCGTGTCAGGGATATGTGCTAGACAAGTGCTGTACCACTGAGCTAAACTCACAGCCCTGTGACTACTTCTTAATATAGAAAATGTGCTGGACATTTTCTGGCCAAAGGTTTAAATTCTTGAATTTCATGTAGTGTGTAACCCCGTTGCCTACCGTTGCTGACACTTTCCTAGCCCTATGTCCAATCCCCAGTCCTGTCTTCCACAGGATTCCACACAGTGTCAGGCAGCATCTGGGGTTCCACCTGAGAACTTCGGGAGCAGGTTACTTTCAGGCTTGCCAGGACCTTGGTCTCACTTTCACTTGAACCTGATAGTCGTCGCCGATGATCCACACTTGAGGATCCTCACTTGAGGAGGACAGGACCTGTAGTAGTATTACTTTCAACTTAAAAATAAAAGTGCTGGCCAGGAAGGTGGCTCACTAGTAAAGCACTTACCTACTATGTAGGAGGCCCTGGGTTTCATCTCCAGCACTACAAAAAATAAAAATAAGCAAGAGGACTGAGGCTCAGACAGACTTTAATACTTATCAAACATCACACACAAGTGAGGCCTACACTGGAACCCAAGCTATAAATTCCTTGCCTCCTATAACTCCTGTTTCTGAGTAAATAAAAGAAAAATGTCTAATCTTTTACTAAATTATAGACTCCTTGAGAATAGAGACCCTGTGTTTTTGTTGTTAAATTCATTCTCTCTCAAATATTCAGTAAGGGCCTACCTAGGACAAGGACTTGTACAATATTTTTTTTTCTTTTCTTTCCTCTTCTCTTCTCCTCTCTGCTCTTTTCTTTTTTTCTTTTCTTTTCTTTTTTCCTGGTGCCAGAGGTTGAACTCAGGATCTTGCACTTTCAAGGCATGGTGCCACTGAGCTAAATCCCTGCCTGCAATATTTTTGATTAACAACAATTCTGTAGAAAGTATACACAAGCAGCAGAGTGAAAATATAAAACCAAAAAATGAACAAAGAAGTACAAACACTAACATCTACTATGGATGGCTTTTTTTTTTAGAACAGCTTTCATAAAAACTATATATCTGAGATATGGAATGGCTCATGGTGTTAGAGAATACTAGAGCCAGATGGTTGAAATTCTCCTGATCCTCTTTTTTTTTTCAGACAGGGTCTCAATATGTAGTCCAGACTGGCCTTGAACTATGTAGCCCAGGTTGGCCTCAAACTTACAGAGATCCTCCTGCCCCAGCCTCCCAAGTGCTGGGATTACAGGCATGTCCCACCACACCTGGCTTTATGATCTTCTTATCCAATCTGATGTACAAGAATCTGAGGGATAGCCTTTTTATCTCAATCTCAGGAATTCATTATTCAAGGAAGGAATCTTTCTGGTCATATTTCCTTTGGAACCAGGCTTTCGAAACATTATTAAACTTTACAAATGTACAATGTGAGCTACATTCATCTACAAAAAAATCAATAGCTTCTAGATAATGTATAAGCTGATAAGTTGTTTGTAACTTTATCTTTTGTTTTTTAACTTTTCTTATTTAAAAATTGGATTAGATACCTGTAATCCCAGCACTCTGGGAGGCTGAGATAAGAGGATCACAAGTTTAAGCACAGCCTGGTCAAGTTAGCAAGATAGTGCTTCAAAAATAAAAGAGAGGGCTGGGGATGTAGCTCAGTGGTTCTGCCACCTGCCTCGCAAGTGGAAAGTCCTGAGTTCAATCCCCAGTACTGGGAAAAAAGGACAAAATATCTAGAGATGTAGTTTACTGTGAAAGCCCTGTGTTCAATCTTCCAAACACACACTTTGTGTGTGAAACACAACAACAAAACAGACACATGCAACACACACACATGCACACTCACAAGATTACAAAAGATGTTGCAGTTTTGCTTCCTGACCTTGTTCATATCTTAAAGCCACAAAGTCTTACATTCTTACAGCATGTTTTATTTTAAAAATGCCTTGTTGGTAGGAATGTAAACTAATACAACCACTCTAGAAATCAGTATGGAGATGCCCCAGAAAACTAAAAGTAGAAATTCCATGTGACCCAGCTATTCCTCTTCTGGGTATCTTCCTGAAAGATTTTAAAACATCATATTACACTGATATGTGCACACACATGTTTATGGGGTTTTTTTGGGTATTTGGTGTTTTGGTTTTTTTTGGACACAGGGTTTCACTATGTAGCCCAGGCTATCCTTGAACTCACTGTGTAGCCCAGGCTGGCCTCAAACTTGCAGCAATCCTCCTGCCTCAGCCTCCAGAGAGCTGGAATTACAGATGTTTGCCACCACACCCAGTGCACACACATTTATGGCAGCACAATTCATAATAGCTAAATCTTGGAAGTGGTCTTTATGCGCATTGACATATAAATGAATAGAAAAAAATAGTATTTATACACAGTGGAGCACTACTCTGTCATAAAAAAAGATAAATTTGAGTCCTGAAAATGGATGCAGCTGGATATTATAATGTCAAGTGAAATAAATCAGACACACAAGTTTAGATATTGCATTGTTTCTCTCGAATAAAAAACCTCAAATATAAATAAAGAGCAAAATAAAAGCTAGATAATAGGAAGTAGGGAGACAGATCTTTTGCAACTGGAAAGGGGATCAAGAGAGGTGGGAAGGGTGGAGAGAAAATGAAGGGGATGAATAAAGTACTGAGATTCATTAGGCACATGCCCCAACTCCACATGTTAACTAGTTATTATGTGCTCCAAACATGGACTAATAAAAAACTGGAAAAAATGCCTTCCTTTAGAACACCAAACAGTAGCACTGTCTTTAAAAATGTTCAGAATATAACACACACAATTGTATCTAATGTGATCATTATAAAGTTATATTTTTTGAAACTATATCTGCAACCCAAATAAGGTTTCAACTAAAAAAGTAAACTTCATCTATTAAAAATTACTATATTTACGGATTTTTGGTGTGGACTTGTCTAAGCAGTTTATAAGGTGAATTAATCTAAGAGAATCACTTTTTGGTAAGAAAAACATACAGAAATAGAGAGTATATATAAATTTTAATAAAGCTTTGATTATATACATGTAACAAGGATAACAATTTTGAAATATATTAATGTGATATTTTCTTTGTATTTCTAGCCTGCCAGAGCTGTCTTTTGTCTCAGGAGATTTGAGCATATTGTAGTAAAAACGTAAAAGAATGGAATGAGTTCACTCTCAATCTTTTCCTATCAAAATGGGACTTTTCAGTCCCTAGTGAGCAATGGAATTGAGAGTCAAACTTTGGTGAGAGTAAGTGGAACTCCTAAGTCCCCCAAAGACTGGCTCTATGATGATAAAACTTTGAGAGCTGTGAATTGAGTATTAAAATAAGCTCCAGAGACAGAAGCAAGGGCATGACCATAAGGGGATACATACTTGCCTAAGGAACTAGTGGAACTTCTAGGATGAGAGGAAAGAGAGATTCTAGAAAAGGAAGCATGGGAAAATAGAATGCAGAATGGGGGAAAAGCATACAGAATGGAAAGATCTAAGTAAGCCAAAGCCCCTGTTCTCTCTCACCAGCATTCTACCACGGGCTTAAAACAAACTGCCACGCAGGTGGGCACAGGGCAAGATGACAATAGGAGATGACTGAGTTGAAAAGTTTAAAAGATTCTCAATTTTGCAAGCCGGGAAAGAGAGTACCTCAAATTTTGAGCCTGACTATGCCAGCTTTATTTAGTCCTGGCTCTGCAGTGAAGATGGGAATGTGGTGACAGAAACACCCTGAACAACATGGAAGAACCTCCAGCCATCAGTGTGGCCACCTGCTTCCCTGGACAGACACAGGGAGGCCTGTGAGCACTAAAGTAGCTGGGCATCGAACAGAACTGTGTCCAGTGCGACACGGAAAAGACAGAGAGGTGCCTGGACAGAAAGTCTGAACTAGGGTGACCAGTTCCCCAGAGATTTCCCTAAAGGTTTCTGCCTAACTACCAAAGGGAGAGAGGGGGAGACATGGAGACCAAGGGCTAGAAAAGACAAGACAGTAGCAGCTGGGGCCATTCCACTTCGCAGACTCACCAGAGCTACACCTAGTGTCCTAGTGTCCAGACACCGGTGTGATAAGCCCCACAACCACAGGCTATCAGGAAACAAAATGACAATCTGTGGGCCTAGTGCACAGGTCTGAAACCCAGTTTTCTTCACATTTAGGTCATGCAAACTGCTGCACACAAGGCACCTTGAGGAGAAGGGCAGGAACTCAAAAGAGGTTCAACCGCAGAGTACTGAGTTCCTTTGAATTGGTAAGGATTTTTTGTTTTGTTCTCCTTTGATAATAAATGGGACATTGTTTCATGAAGAAGAATAAACCAATTCTTCAAAACAAATAACCAACAATGTCTCTCTCCATAAAATGTTAAACTTTAATAGCTTTATCAAAATACAGTGTAACCAACATATAGTAAAATCTGTAAATTTAAATTTGATAAGGTTTAAGATATATACCTGTAAAACCATCACCACAGCCCAGACAATGAGCATGTCCACCCTCACACTTTTTTCAATCCATCCCTCAGTCTTTCCCCTCATCCATTCTCAAGTAGCCTCTGATCTGCCTTCTGTCACTGTAGACCAATTTCCATTTCTTAGAATTTAGGGTGAGTGAACTCACACAGTGTGCACTCTTTTTAAAATCTGGCTTTTAACAAGAAACTAGAGACATTTATAGCTAAATGGATGCACATTGAGGCCATATTCTTAAGTGAAATAAATAGGACACACATGTGTAAATACTGAATAGTTTCTCTAGTGTGAGAAACTGAAAGAGTA